TTTTGCAATAACCTTTTTTGTAACTCGAATGACAATTATGGTACGAGGAGCATTTTGAAGCCACATACCGGGAAAACTATGTTCTACCTCGACGTATGGGGGAAAAATGAGTTGTGCCCAAAATTTTCGTTACTTTTTAGGTATCCCTTAGTCTATACAGACTCGCTCAACGACTATCCTTATCAACCGAGAACTTCCAAATTCCACCTGGGTTCGAAGTTTCACCCTGGCTTAAGGGGCTATACATCACTGTTTGACCCTCAGAAACGTTTGACCTTTCATCTTTTTTCGACTAATAAAGTTAAAAAAAAAGTTGCCCAAAATTCGCTCTAAATTCGTTTTTGCTACCGTTTCACTTTGCCCCGCGTTCCACTTTGCCCCGGTCTCCCCTACATCCAAGAAGCCCCAAAAGTCACTTTTCACATTTTTATCGCAGCCACTTGTCCACTTGGATAAGCTCCAAAAAAATTATCTGTTTTTCCAAGAATTGTAACCCCATTCCTCGATCTTTCTTATTATTATACTCCGTCGATCCCTACTTTTACAACAATAATGAGAATCATCGAATCATTCCGTTGAATCTCCAGCAACTTTGAATCCATCTTCTAACAATAAAACAAGTCATGATGTTCCACGAAAAACGTTTGATGTTGCAATGCATTCTTGTCTTCCCATGTATTAAGATGAAACCAGTCACCATCAATCCATTGACTCAGCCCCGCCCCCCTCCTCCGATAATCGTATAAAGATGTGAGAAAACTACCATATCATTAACCATCATCATCGTGAAACCACTTTATTGGTAATGATATTCCACTTTGTTAACGTTGGATTAAAGTTGGTAGCCATGATCCGTTTCCATGGGCTGTTGCACTCGCATCCACAGCATCGTCCATCGTCACGCTGATGAGTCTCCAAGGTACACCATACTAACTTGCCCATCTCGAAATATACAAATTGCTTGAATACTTCAAGTTGACCAAGGGCAACTGAATCGCGCCTCAAAAATCTATCTCACGAGTTGATTATGAAACCATTCGCTACGCTCCGAGTACTATCTAGGTGGCTTTAAAGTCAACAGTTTGACCCCATCATCATATTCGGGACTTTGTGGAGAACAAAGAACTGGAGTTAAAGATATGCCATCCTTGACACGCGTTTGAAAGTAGTTTAATGTTCTTGGTAATGAGTAAATTTTGTCAAGAGCGGTTTGATCAATTTTCATTGTATATAGATATTAATATCATTTAGAACATTCAGAATATTCTCCCTAATATAAGAACAATTCTTTCTGTTCGGCAACTTGATGAGATTGAAAGTTACAGTTCATGCCATTGGGATGGCTCATCGAAATTAGATCCTAAATTGACAAAACAAAGAAATAATCCCGGAGAAAATCTTCAATCTAATAAAAATTTTAGTACTAAAAAAATTCCTTCCCCGCATGATTTTTGCGCAAAATTTAGAAATACATGTATGTATGTCTCAACTCCAAAATAATTTCTGCATGTATCTTCGAAAGCCGGAAGGAAGGAGAGGGCTTTCTTGTTCCGTCGAGTATTTTCTACAGAGATTATTCTCAAATATCCTGATGTCAAAAATCGATCTCCATTGTTTCTCTGCTCATTTTTAATTCGAAAAACAACACCTACTCGGAGAAAAATTTACTTCGAATGTTCGAATGCTAACATTGTTTCCTCTAGGATCAAACGGCAAAAACACCGAGGGTTTCAACTTGGTCCGCAAAAAAAGATCTTAGCATGCTTATTTTCTAAGTAATGTTTATTCCATGTACACAAACGAATGCGGATTCTTGTCGTGATCCATTTTTCACTTCTCCCGTCCCCTGATTTCAAATATGATCGCTTGCCCGTTGTACATACAACTGAATTATAATAAACCAAGCAGGCGATCGAGCCTATCCGATAAGAGACATGTGATGGCTACTTTATGGCTTATTAGCTGTTTTTACTTCCGAATGGAAGCCTTGTATTTGATTGATTTTTCAATTTTCTAATTTTAATTGTAAATGGTCTAGAATGTTATGAAACATGTAGAATCGATGTTTTTAGAGTCATGTATGTATGTATGTGATAAATTGGGTTTTTGGTGATTAATTTTTTATAAAAACCAACATAAATAGGGTGAAATTTGTAGATAAAAATCTGACATTTTTGGCTAATTGTAGATCAACTTTGGCGCGCTGTTTCAGCCCTATTCATCCAGTAGATCCTGATATATAATTTCATGATCTCGGAATTAAAACAAGCAAGTGATAGTGGGCATGTGACTGATGTTTCAATGTTTTTTGGTTCTCAATATATTGATGGTGGGCGTCCGTTGCCGTATTTTGGCAAAGAAGTTAGCTGTGACAGAGTGTGGGTCTCTGGCAGAAAAGGTTCCATGAGAGTACATACGCGCATGTATGTCCACATATATATAATGTATACACACACATCTGTGTATATTATGAAAATCCAAATCGCCGCCTCTATTGAGAATTTGGTACTCGAATTTGAGACCTCAAAATCAAGGGTCAGAAATGAAAGATTAGAAACTAATAGCCACAAGGGACAAATTATCCTTATTTCACGGAAGTTATAATAGGGGTTAGAATAAGCGTCACGAGGGTCAGCAAAAGCGTCCAAATAAGGGTCATATGGGTCATATGGGGGTTAGCGAGCGGAACGAGTTTTCTAAAAAAATTACATCTTTACATTTTATGACATTCTCCATCACTTTTAGGCAAAATTAGAAGATCATTAGAAGATCAACGAAATCAAAGAAATTAAAGTAATTAGAATCAACGAGATCAAAGAAATTAGAAGATCAACGATTACATATCTTCTATTCGGAAGCAAAATGAATCCACTTACACCCACGTTGAGACAATTATTCAATTGTGCATCTAAAAATAAAACAATGAAAAAAATCATGTTTTTTTGGCGCCCTTGGCCTTTTTTGTAAATTCATGGAGACGAGGACGTATGGTTCTTCAAGTATAGAATTAGGAATCACAGGAACAGCCTCATTGCGACATTATTATTGTACGAACTCATTCACGTGCACGTTTTGACTGTAAATCTGTAAAAAATATGATCGGAACATTTTTATTAAGGAGTGGCATTCATTATCCTCAGGGTCATGACTCTTCTCCAGGGTTATTTTGAATCGCTAACACTTCCTCTAGGTTTCAGAAATAGAACATGAACAATTATATCTGTTCACACCCAAGGAAAATTCTATTCCAAAACACTATCTAATAATCAGAGAATTGTTTTCGTGTTCTTCACCTGTCACCATAACCTACTTTGCAGTACTTTTTCCTACGGAATTGAAAACATTTTCTGTTATCACTCTAAAAGAAGTACATATTTTATTTTCAAATTTAACTATCCATGGGTATTCAATACTTCATCACGCAATTTTCGACAAATAGCATTTCTGTCATATTCCAAACATAAGCCATAGCCTCACAAACAATGTACAAAGTATCTTTATCTCCGAAGTCCGGATCTAGATATGACAAGAAGAAATTCCAATTTTCAATAAAAGAAAAAAAAATAGACCGCCGAGTTAATTTATCGTTTTACTGTAATAAGTGATTTAAGGATATCCAAGCACTTTCACTATTTTTTCTCCAGTGAAATGCTTTTCTACTTTTGTAGTCGAGCCTCACAGCTTTCATTTGAGCCCCATTTGACCCTAAGTTTCCGGACATTTTACAAGGATTTTATTATTTAAACTTTGCAGGTCTGAATTTCAATCTTAATATTGAACTGTTAGAAAACATTATAAAAATCTGAAGAAATTTTAGAAAGTTTACTTTTGAAATGCTTTTCTACTTTTGTAGTCGAGCCTCACAGCTTTCATTTGAACCCCATTTGACCCTAAGTTTCCGGACATTTTACAAGGATTTTATTATTTAAACTTTGCAGGTCTGAATTTCAATCTTAATATTGAACTGTTAGAAAACATTATAAAAATCTGAAGAAATTTTAGAAAGTTTACTTTTGGAGGAAAATTGATAAAATAATAAAAAAGTAGCAATTTTTGAAAATTATGAGCCTTTTCTATGAATAATTTATAAACAATCAATTTTCTACCATAAAAATCATTTGTTCGGAATTTTAACAAATTTATTCATATTCAGAATTTTACCGTAAATCGATTTCATGCCTAAAAAAAGGTTTCCGAAAGTTTAAACAATTTTAATTATTTATTTATAAACAACGAATGTTTAAAAAATAATAATTCTGTGCAAAATGAAATTTGAATGACACTGAATATTCATGATTTTTTTCAAATTTTTCTCACGCAATTTGATTGACAAATTTGATGATTGAAAATAGTTGAATCTATAGTGTGGTCTGTACCAAACTGTAAAAGATACTTGGATATCCTTAAAGTGAGAAAAAAATGTTTCCCGTGGTTCTCCATAACATCAAAACCAACTTTTAAATGCACTGGTGGCAACACTTCGACGTTGGATGTGAGCAGTGAGGCCAAAGTCTATCCTCTTTGAGTGAGGCTCAATTGGACCCACGCTGCCGACGTTTCGACTTGATTCTCCGACTTTATGATGTGAATAGCGAGAATGTGAATACCAACCGGTTGCTATGCGCGTATCTTTTTTACTGTTAATCCAAAAAATACAACAGTTACACCTTTGAAAAGCTCATAGGCGATTTATATAATGTAACTAAGGACACTATTCCGATTCGTCGTCCCGTTTTTATTATACCGAATGTTAATCATTTAGAGGTAGTGGAGGGGGAAGTTCTGTCATGTATAGATATGCGGTGCGCTCGGCCTGATGTTTTGTACAATCGGAGTTAAAACTTTTCTTGGCCGATAATACACTATCGCGTAGTTTGATAGCAATTTGTGGAATATGGACATAAAATGCAGGCTAATTTTGCTCCACTCGCGCTTGTGTCTTCTATTGATATGTTTAGAACTCATAAGACTGAATTCACATTTAATTTGTTTTTTTACAGATAAGAGTGCCACTCAAATCCACATTCAATGTGCGACCCAGGGATGTTTCTGTTACAATTGGAAAGAAGCATCTCACCTGTGGTATCAAAGGCCAACCTCCAATAATTGATGGAGATTTTCCACATGAGGTTAAACTTGAGGAGTCAACCTGGGTTATCGAAGATGGAAAAACGTTACTCATAAATTTGGAGAAGGTTAAAGAAATTTAATTTTAAAAAAATGTCTTACAGAATTATATTTTACTTTCTCTGATAACTCCTATAATTTATATAGAAATGTTCAGGCAACAGTTTTTTCATGGAACTTGAAGAGGGAAACAAAGTTTGCCATTAAGTGATTAAATTATCTCTGAATTTTTCTTATTTTGTTCACTCTGCCCTTTTGAAATGTATTTAATTAGACGGATAGTCGATAAAAAATAGTTTTATTCCTAAGCGAGAGAATTTTTTGGTGGAAAATACAGTAAGACATTTCCTTCCACGAATAGTTGATTCTTCAAGATTATTGGAGTTATACCAGTCTTTATATTGAGTTCTTCAGCAGAAATCCGCTGCCTATGAAAAATGCGCTATTGTTCTTTTGAAATATAAACTTCAGGAAAATTATTCCCTATTTTCTATGATATTTTATCAAAGGTTCTATTTAATCTTCGAAACAGGTCAACAAAATGCAATGGTGGGCTCACGTAGTGACCTCTGATCCTGAAATAAACACAAAGAAAGTGAATCCGGAGCCTAGCAAATTGTCTGACCTCGACGGTGAGACACGTGGACTCGTTGAGAAAATGATGTACGATCAGAGGCAAAAAGAACTGGGACTGCCGACGTCTGACGAGCAGAAGAAGCAGGACGTCATAAAGAAGTAAATCACTACTATCTCTAACATGCGAATCATGCGCTCATACACCATAAACCTAACTTTGTTTGACCTATGTTTTTTTTTGCAGATTTATGGAACAACATCCTGAGATGGATTTCTCAAAATGTAAATTCAATTAATTTCCAGGTTTGAATTTGAAGATTGAGAAGTTTCCGTCAATTGTCCAGAAGAGAATAATTAAAGAAAATTACAAATTTTTTTTTATAATTGCACATTTTCGTCACATGCAATTATGTTCTTTGTCGAATAAAATTTCATGAGAAGTGAAGTGTTGACTTTAATCTGACCTTTTTAGAGATATTTCGGTTTTTTCATTTTATTTATGATTCAACTGAGTTTGAATGATTGCGGAATTAATTAGAACCGTCAAAAAGAATAAGTCAAGTCGTGCCCTCCGGAAATTGCCATGTTTCAATCCATACCTTTGATGAATATGAGTTAGGAAAGAGATTCGTCACGATAGAAAAGAGAAACAATGCGTCGGGAACAAAATTTTCTCTGAAAGTTTTCTCTGATTTTTTTCGCTATCTATGAGAGCTATCCAAAGAAACAAATGTGTCAATCAATATTTTTGCTCATAACGATGAAAAGGAAAGCTATCATGGAAGAGACAAGCAGTACACCAGAAAAATGTGATTTCTTTGCAATTTTCTTATTTTTTCTCCTTTTCTCGTTTTCTTCTTCTTTTCAATCTTTTTTTGCTTCTTTCACCTTTCAATCGACAATTTTCCCTTCTGCTAGATGGGAGGGACTATCAACAACATTATAAAACTCTTTCGAAAGACAAAGTACTCATCCAAAGAAGTGCGAAACATGGAAAAACATGTTTTATTTTACTGTAACGACCTTTTTACATTTTTACAATAAGAGGCTATTATTTACCGTCTCCAACTACCACTTGCCCAATTGCACTGATTTACTATACATCTATTCATCACGACTACTGTTTTCTAAGTGCTTTCCGTTTTGTTGTTGTTGTTTGTTTTCGTTTCGGAAAAACTTCTTGGTTTTCCGCAGCCGAATATCGTTTCATTAACAATTGCTCTCCCGGTTTTGGAATGAAACAATGGTGTTTTTGAATGGCTGGAATAGCTTTGGCACTATCAAATCTTTCCCTCAATTCAGTTTTTATATTCTCATGTTCGTCCTTGGTGAAAAAAAACACATCAATTCCTTTGAAATTCTCTTTTGACCATCGAAACAAAGCATCTGGCGTCAGGATGGGTTCACCATGGATGATTTGCAAGCTTCTACGTCTCGCTTCTCTTTTGAAAACAGTACCCACACCGTCACAAGCTCCTTTACCGTGTGCGGTTGCATGGAAATGGGCCCCTGTATCTATTCCAAAATCAGTCTTGTGATGCAGAAGATTAGCCATTTGGTAACGATTCTTGTAATGCTGTGCAGCTCCATCGGTGACATAGATGATTCTCTCGACATCTTTGCAGTTATTCTTCACATGTTGTATTAGAATTTTCTGTACCAAGTAAACAGCTGCGGTATCGTGAGTAGTACTATCTGACAAAACAACTAAACTCCGATGCTGGATCTCGTTTCCTTCGCGATAGTAGTAAACAACGGGATGGACTGTACATTGGTCATTGTTGTAGTGGAAGGCTTGAGCAGCATCTTGAGCCACAAAGGCATAATTTTCTCAGAAATCAAACTGCACTAGTACTTCGCCGTTATTCAAATTCTCTTTGCAATCTTTAACAAAAGCCGATTGTTCTTTAGCGATGAAGTGATGGGGTTTTAATACTTTTAATCGTTCGACAAGAAGATCGACGAAGTGATCTATTGCAAGCGTTTGTGTCTGCAAGGTACACCTGTCAGTAGTTTGCCACATGCGAAATTGGACAGTTTCGACAACAGAATCAGAAAGGAGCTTCTTCAATTCACATGAGAAGGGTTTCACCCCAGGGCAGTCGTTACATTCATCCAGATAACAGGCCGGGGTTGGATTTGTACACATCAGTTGTGCTAGACAATCTTTGTAATCCTTGAGTGGGCAGGGGGAATCTTTAGTTAGAGTGGCAATGTTGATGGCTTCGAGCATCAATTTGCAATTTTGATGATACGTGCAAACACATTCGACGTGAGTGCCATTTGCTCCCGCCAGTACACATTGTGTTGATCTCAGCTTAGCGAACTTACTGAAACCAACCAAAGCCTCCTGGATGAGTATTTTTGTACTTCATATGAAGGTGTTTCAGATTTTCTAGTATCATTTGCTTTTGCTCTACTTTCTTCTCTCCATTGATTTTGACGGATACTTTATCTTTCATCCCTGGCATGACACGACTATTCTCTAGATAAAACTTGTGTACTTTCTCGACCGTTTGTTTTGGAAGTGAATGGCCTGCTTTCGCAATTGGTGAGGCAAATACTCCTTTGTTTTCTCTCAATTTTTTCGCTCTTGACGCCATGTATCTCATGATGCCAAATTCAGAAGCGATTTTCCGCTCGCTCCACGACTGTGGAAGAACCGTCAAGATTTTCAAACGCTCACCGAACTTTTCCAGATCATTGAATTTTTTCTTCAAACCATCCAGCATTTCTTCTAATTCTATTTCTCTCGAAGATCGATAGCGCTTTGATAAAGAAGAATCAGCGTCACTTTGGTCATCTTCCGCATCAAAATACATGGGGGAACTGAAGAATTCAGATATATTGTCCGCTTCTTCATCGATTGAAATGCCGGAATCGTCGAGATGGAAAGACCGACCTGATCTCAGAGAACTGTTCATCACATCTGGGCTTGGTTCGGGTGTTTCGNATATGGACGTCCTCTATGAGAAAAAAAATATTCCAGTCGAATACCGGACGGTCCTAAAGCCGAAAAAAAATAAAAACGTAAAAATTCATCGAAATTTAGGTGTAGAAGCGTCTTCACGCCTATGGACAATTTTTTTCCTGAAAGTATGAACAAAAACAAAAATTTTCTTTTTTTAATTGTTCGAATCGGATGCGCCATTTAAAAGTTATAAATTTTTGAAAATTTAAGGTTTGGCAGTCATTATCTCAGAAACAAAAAATCATGAG